GCAGGAGGTGCTGGGAGAGCTGTCTCCTATGCAACAGCTGACACATGAAACACATTTAAGAGAACAAATTTTCCCAGCTTTGAAGCTCCTTGTGTCCCCAAGTTAAGACTTGAACATTAACATAATTTCAAAATAGTACTTATTAAAAACATATATTTCCTATAGCTTTAAGGATGTTTAACAAGCAACAATTAAGAGACAAGTGAAAAAAATCATAGAATAGATTACTTTTTAGTATGACAATAACACACAAATCGTTCCTTTGGTAACAGCAATTTATCATCTTCTGCTTATTCTTGTCAATACATACCCATTCTGAGGTCATTAAATCTGAATTAACTGCCTGATAGATCTTAATGACTTCAAAGGAGCCATTATGGCCAGTCACACAGTAGAAGTTTGAGTCCTTACATTGAATAGCAACTGTAGACAGTATTGAACATCCTTATTAAAAATCAATAGAGAGCGAGCACGTGGTCTGGCAGGCTGAAGGAATTGGTAACAAGATCCTTAAAGCCTCCTACTTCTAGTGCAATTATATATCAATTCCCGTGTAGCTGGGTGATGAATGAAAAAATTTGACAGTAGTAGCTCCTACCCAACAGGCAAGTGATTTTTATCAGACCTCAGAGCATCGGTGAAATTCGTTGATAGCGGAGAGAGTCTAAGGCTTTGCATGACAGGACAGACTCACCTTTTCAGATCAAGGCAAAGAGACTTCAGCAAGGAAGCAGAATGAAACATGAGGGGTTTGTTTTGTTGGTGGTTTTTTTTTTTTTCCTTTCTGTAGACAATGTGTTCAGGATATTAGTATTCAGTATTCAGACTTTCAGTATTCATAGTATAGGAGTATTTGTGACAACAGAACATCCTCAAGTTTTGCTTCAGTCCAATTTCAATGCATTACGAGAAAAATCAACTCGCATCCCACGCTTTCATCCTTTGCCCCCTATTCAAGAGAAACCCAACCGCTATCCACTATTTCGTATCACACTGTAAAATCTAACCAGTTTATTCTGCAAAGCAAACCAGCTAGACGAAGGAAAGATGTGCTTTTAGCATCCATCTTGTCTCCTGCCTAAGAGAGGCTCACTGTTTTTTTATAAGACACAAGAGAGCAACAATAATGTGAACATTGGAGAGAAAAGGAATAAAGAATGGAGTAAATAAATAAGCATGAATGCGGCAGGGGGGAAGGCACAAAGATCAAATAGAATAAGTTAAGGATGATGGGGGAAAAAAGACAGGACAGAACAGGGGTAGCCTAGATGGAAACCCTTCTCCACTGTTTTTCTTCTCTTCAGAGGGATTGGGGTGAGGGTGGTGTCTGCGCTACAGTCAGGTAAAAAAAACTGTTTCAGCAACATTAAATTGGTACCAAGGACAAGATCTCACTTAAGACTGTATTCACCACTTCTAATTATTTTCATTACCATTTCTATTCAGCAAAATGAAGAAGAATAAGGAGAAACAGCATGGTGATACTGAAACAGTAGATGAAACCAGAGGAAAACAAAGTTATTTTAGGAACAGAAATAACAGGTGTATAGATCAGGGTATAGAACACACTGAAATAAAATGAAAATACAGCAACAAAAATATCACTAAAGTAGCTTGGAAAGTGTACCCTACAGACTCGAATGTTGTTTGAGAAACTACTGAAGAAAAAAAACAAACCAAACCAAATGAGGAAAAAGCCCTCTGGGAGATCTATTTTAGAAGAACACCACCACCTCTATTTTTCCTCACTGCCTGTTGTGAAAATGAAGCCAAGCAGCTCAAGTACTCAACCTAACTCCATCTTCCTTAAAGAGAAAATGACTTAGACCAAAAACTGGGGATCCCAAAGTAAAGCAAGGTAACTATGGAAAGAACAGAAACGGTAACGTTCTTGGCATTGTTTCATTGAACTGAACCTAAGGGGAAGGGGGGGAGAAAAACAAGTGCCAAGAGATAGAGAGGAATCTCCGGGGCTTATCTGAATATCCTAATGAATATGATATGTAGCAAATTTAGAAGTTGTTTCTTATTTCATATCTGATTCTACGTGCTGTGAGAGAATTGCCAGTCTTAGAAGAGAAGATCATTTATCCTCCCGAACAGCACGAGCTGAACAACTGCTGCTGCCAAGAGACAAGTTTGAAGAAGGAAGACAATCTAATTTCCAGGTTTCACTCAACCCATAATATTCTTTTTGAGATCATGGCCAAGGTTACCCCTATGCAGAAGACTTCCCACAAAAAGATCACTAGGTTGACTGTAAGTGTAATAGAGTAAACTGCTGGCTTCCTATTACAGGCAGTCAGTGCTATGATTTTACCTACAACCTGTGTATGAAAGGCAACACCACTGCGTTATCAAAGTGACAAATCAGAATCTCATCCCTCCAAGTTTTACTGTGTCAGAATAATTCTCATGAGGTCTGTTTTGTGATGTGACTGCTCTTTTAGTCAGCAACACCCTTCCCTCTGTGTAATAGTTTTGCACCACTATGAAAGCCAGAAATGAAACTCTCAGATTTGAAGTGCTGGGTGAGTAACTACAGCTCTGTATGCAAGAAGCACGATCTTCGGAGATCTTTGAGTCTCCACAGAGTCCCACTGCAGAACTGGGACAAAGAAATGCATCCATATAGCTCAGCTTGAAGGGCAGGAGCCAAAAGCAAGCTGTAAAAACTGGATGTTTAACAAAACTGCAATTGTGCAAGAGTCAAGATCTACTACAAGTCCTTATTTATGCTATTGTCCAGCCTTCACAAAAATATTATAGATTTTTTTAGTAAGGCTGAGAAAGGCAGTAATAATTCTTAATTCCTACCAGTTATGTGAAAAGGCTTACTTTTTCCAACAAGAACCAGTGTATGCAGCTTTCAGAAACTCTTATACTGACCATAAAAGTAAAATGCTCAGCACAAAAGGCCAATAGTTATTCTTTATTTAATCCTACCTTGTTGGACACAAAACATAAGGATGAAGGCCCCTCTGCCCCCTTTTTTTTTAACTTCTGGGGAAAGGGACAGGTACTGTCACAAGAGGTGTACCATCAGAGGTAGCTGACTTTCATTCGCCTCATATAGACCAAGGCAAATGCCTGAAGTATCCAAAGTTCTGTGCAGGTAAATCATGTTCAGTCCTGTCATTCTTCCCTTGCTAACCGAGACTACTTCAGATGCAAAGTGGCAAAAGGTTTGGTTTCTCAGCTGTTTTCTGTTATTAGTTTTGATGCCCATCAACTTGTCTGGGATCCAATCACCACCTACACATGATACTCACCCACGTGTGACTGAAAAAGGTAGTTGTCCTTTACAAATTCTCTGTTGGCCATAACAGTAAAGAATAAACACAGGCTCATCTCTGCTACCTGAAACTAAATGTACAAGAGCTCAAGTAGCTTTTCTAGGCTTATTGTTCAACATCCCTCTCACTGCAGCGTTTTTTCTATGCTTCTAATCTGCATGAGCCAGCTATCTTCAGTTTACTTTTGTCTCCTTCTCTGTCTACAATATCAACTGCTCATCAATATCACACACCCTGCATTTTTCATTGCATAAGTATTTCTTCTTTAAAATTATCTTTTTTTTCTATTACTGCCCTAATTTAACTCATTACAAAGTCCCAGTTTTTCTTGCCTGTCATAGGGCACAAATCAGAGACAAACCACGTTTTGCATCTCTGGAAACATCTTACCTAACACAGGAACTTAATTGTTCAAAATTCCATTCTTCTAGCAAATAAGTTTTAGCAAGTAAGACCTCACTCCAATCTACTGCATAATTCTTCTCTCTCTTCACTACATCATCTATCTTGTGGCAGAAGCTGATCACTGTCCATGAGGTATCCTCCTCACTTGCCTTGTGGTAGACTTTCTCCATGTCCTTGCATGGAGCTTTGCCATCAACAGCTCTAAAAGATGCCAAGATGAAATGCAGCTGGAGCGCTAGAGCAGGAATCCTGCCTCCATGACTGCTCTTGCTCCCGCCCCAGTAAAAAACAGGTCAGCTCCTCTGCTCCACGACACACATAGCACACCTTGATGTCTGTGTTTGTACACATTTTTAAGCCTTCTGCTTATTGCAAATATTCCGAGGTGCAGTTTGGAAACATTTTACTGAAAGCAGCCCTAACGTGCTGCTTCTGTTCTGCTCCGCCATGCCCTGTAAGTCGGCAGGACAGCGAGAGACATACTCGCTCTTTAATGTTTCAGATGTAAATGGCAGCCAATACTCTCCTGAGAGTACAGGCAAGGCAGATGGGAGGGGAGTGTACCAGAGGCTCCTGAACCATAACACAGCTGATAAATCCAGCATCTCATTCAATATGTGATGGAGAAGGCCATCCTTCTCAAACCAAAATCACAGTGCGAACAATCTTTCTTCATGGAAAATGATCATTAAAATAAACACTGTGTTAAACAAAGTAAGTGGGAGGTGATTCACATCCACGTGCATCGCAGCCCTCAGGGAAACCTGAAAATCAAATGTCATTTCTCCCTTTTTCATTGCAAACACGCACGAAGTATTCAATCAAACTAAAAACAAGCAAACAAACAAAAAGAATCCATTCTTCTGAGGCTGGAAAGAAATATTCTAGTATTATAAGGAACTTACATTGCTTTGATTAAAAAAGGTCAGAAATAATACATGAAAATACACTGTAAAAACTATGAGGTATTTTTAAACTTACCTGAGGCTTCCCTAAAGTTTGTGTTTTTTCCTGCACATGCATTGTACATGCACACACAGAGACACACAAAACGTCAGTAAGCTTTGACAGAAAATTAAGAGGTGAGTGCGAAGGCCTCATCTAAGGAAGTGTTAGGTTTTTAGCTACCTACTTGCAGACCCCCATCTACAGCACCAAGAAGTCGCCCACTACCATGCCGGGTTAGGAGAGGCTGATGAGGATCTAGCGGTGAGCGGAGGCGTTGGACAGACCGCGGCCGGGGGTTAGCGTGAGCCCAGGCCCGCTCCCAAGCGGTGGGAGGCGTGGAGGGGCACTTACTGACGCTGCCACAGACCGCCATGCAGTACTCCTCTGAATCAAAGTTGTTCCGGTTCCCGCCGCAGCCGCCGTAAAAGAAGGGCGCGCACTTTCCTTCGGCCACGTCAAAGTACCAGCGGGAGATCATCGCGCGGCAGGGACCAGTCTCGGCTTGCTCAGAGCACACCTCTAGTCACAGGAGACCCGGAGGAACCACATTTAGCATGTAAATGGTATTGCCTCAGTTTCTTAATTAGGTGCCTCTCAACGTCCACGCACGCGAGCGAGGAAGGAGATGCACCAAGGAGGTGTTTTGGGGAACGGGAAACCCTTCCCAGGAAAACCACCCTGGAGACAACGAAGGTAAATTTTGATCTGACTTAGATTCGTGCCACTAAGTCTCCTTAGCCTGCCTATATTTTTATGTTTTTAGCTACTTTATCCACATGCAGTGAGGGGTGTTGCCCTGAAACAAGCTCCAGCATGGTGGCAATGGTACAAGTGTGAAGTTTCAGCTGCTTCCAGGCCAGAGGGGTACAACCACTGGCTGTCCGTGGGGTCTGCCAACGGCCCCAGGCAGACTCCTGCCCAAGCCACCCACTCGGTGGTACCTGTCTGGACAGGCAACATCTGAAAGCAGTAGGAGCCACATTTCTTCTTGTGGTTTTTTAGCTATATACCCCCTCCCTGACCAAATTGAGAAGGTTTCCTAGCTTATACAAAAGAAAAAACAAAATATTTATGAGTTATAAAGGGAAACAAATTCTCTTCAGACACCTATTTATATATAGTCACTGCTGAAGAAACTCCCTCTTACGAGCTGCCCAGCACAGGGTTTTTAATTCACAGTTTGAGGGCTCACATATATAAAATTACTGCCACAGCTTTAACCCATCCAGGGGAGGAAATCTCATCCCCAGTGAATATACACAGGAAAAAAATTAAAACGGTTTGCATTCGTGTTCATTGTGAGCTGCCACAGTCTCTGCCTACATCCTGCAACACATGAAAACCTGAGGGAAGAACCAAACCACACAAATTAAAGGAAGACAAAGCAAACTCTGCCTGCAATTTGGAATTCAGCCAATTACACATGTAAACATATAGCCCTTTACCAATAATGTTCCAAACAGACAAAACCAGTTTTATCCTTCACCGTGCCACGTAAGTCGTTTCAAACCTCCATAACGTTAAACACCAGTATGCCCCTCATTTGCTTTCATCCCACACACTGCATTGGCAGACAAACTGGTACATTCAACTAGATGCTTCTAAATTCTCTGCATATATTTGAATTTTGTGGAAGGCAGATCCCTAAGGGTTGAAAGGTATGAAGAAATACCAGCGCATTAGCACTGAAAATCCCCTGCATGCTCATCACCTCTCAGATGTTGGCTACAAAGAATCCCACTTTTCAGAGCCTGCCCTGATCCATCACTTCACTCCCCCCAGGAGCACCACTATTTATAAATAGATTTTATGTCCAGTTTTCATTGGCAGTCAGTGTATACCTACATTTCCTTAAATACAAAATATAGGTATAATTTTACATGTGTTTAACATATTCACATATCGTATCCATAAATATTGTCAAGAATCAATTTTAAGGAGCATACATTTGGTCTAAGAGAAACAGATCCAAGTGTATGCAACCATCAAGGATGTGCTACAAATGTCACAATTCTGTACCAAGCAATTAGGGGGAAAGGAATAGCAGGGGGTGAAGGAATACTAGTTTTTTTACTTTAAGAAAAAACAAAATAAGTATATTTAATTGTACAACACATTAATTACAATTCATTGTATACTACCATATGATTAATTATAGACCATATTTAGTATGCAAGTGTTTCTTCTGACTTATTTTAAAATCAAATCCAGCCCCGCCGTCCAATTATACAGTCAAATCTTCACACAAAGCTAACTTTGCACAGCCTTGGAAGAGCTGCCACATGTCAATTAAAAATGAATAGTGACTCTTGACATTAAAGAGACAGGTATAATCAAGAGAATTTTTGCTGATGGGAAATGTCATTTCAAAAACCACAGAGGTCTCAACAACTCAGTCTTTCTTAGTTAATATTGACTATGGACTGACCTCTACCCACACAGTAAGCACCTTCCAGGTTTCCCTCAAAACACTAGTTCTGCTATAAAGTCTGATTTATTTCATTTTGCACTGTTAAAGTGTTATCAGGATGGGAACAGCTCACAGATTTTATCTGACATTTCCTATAGGTACCTCTCTCACAGAAATAGCAGCAGAGATTTTTTTTTTTTGCATGTGCAAAAGCAAAGGTAATTGCCCATCAAATAACTGATGCCAGTGATAACAAGAAATTTGGCTTTCTGGAAACTGAAGACATTTATACACATGAGGATGCACTTGTACAAGCATTCAGGAAAACACAGGGTACCATATTAAAAAGAGCAAGCCTGAAGCACTGCAGGCCAGTGTTGTGGCCAGGGGCCGGCCTCCTGCCTGACCTGTCGTCTTCCACCAGGCTGGTGGTGACAGCACAGGGCAGTGGAGGGACATCCTTCCCTCCAGCCTGCACAGCCAACTGTACTGCTACTGGTGAGACCTAAATGGTAATTATTTCATCGCAGAGAGAAATGGTCTACTGTGCAAACAGTTTATGACCTAAATGAAGATTAAACAAGAGAGGAGAAAAATGCTCTGGGTCACTGTTTCACAATTGCTCTGTTTGAGGGAAGCGTGTTGCTGGTCCAGTCTAGGAAACTTTTCGCTGCTGTCATCCCTTTCCCAGTGTCACCATCACTGTCCACCACCACCTGTTCTGTGTGGAGGGCTCAGAGTAGCCTTCCTTCACCCCTGCTTCGGGACGAAGGTACATTTTTAAACGGGCTTCAATGCCTGGGAAATGGTCCCATCGCTCCCGTTGGTGGGCCAGTTGCTCCTCCCATGCCTCTCCATAACCCCATCACTTCTCCTTACAGAAAAAAGCCACTGCATTTAATCCTTTGCTGTACCACCTCATCTGAGAAGATGGGGAAATGAAGTGCAGACATGGGAAATTCAACAGGTTTTCTTGGGCTACTAATCCAAATACCATTTCCCCTTCCACTGCTACCGAGTGTAGCAATCAATGCCTATGATGGATGAGCCATGGTATTTTCACAGCTATTACCAGCAGGCAGGCAGGCAGCATACACCGCTAAAGGATTCATCAAAAAATTAAAAGCTGTCTTTGCTTCATATATTAAACTTGTTGCTGAAAACTGATTAAAAGATTAGTTACTTTTTGCCACTATGTAATTCAATTTTACTTGATATTACAAATAATATGTATCCAGTACAGCATTAATGGGGAGTTTTGCTTTGTTTAAGGAACTTGCTCACTCTACCCCCTCCAAAGATGCATTTTTGCCTTTGGCTCCATGAAACTGGATAAAATTAAAGAGGACAAGCCTTTGCCACAACTCAGGTTCATAAGCAGTCTAAATTCTGTTTTCAGATGCTTACAGTTTTCAAACCATCCTTCTTCAACAGTAAAATTTCTCTCATCTTCTCTGGGCCCTAAACCAAAGATTACAGTTGCCAGTACCTTCCTTCTCTGAAACCTCAGATATGGCAAATTATTTTTGAGATAATCAGGAAAGTATAATTCAATTTTCTTCATTCCAAGCTTCTTATGCTTATTCCAGCCTCTCGATGCAAAAAGAGCTGTTTCTAACCAAGCAGGTAGATCATTCCCTGAAGGACAGTACTGTGGCAAAGCTTTTTGATTTGCTTTTAAATTAATAGTTAAAGTGATATACTGAAAACTAATCAGTTACACTAAACATCAGCACTGACTGTGTTATTTTTTCTTTGAAAAAGCACAGACTTCAGCACCCTAGGAAATACACAGTCTTCAAGTATGAGGACATTGATTTATAGTGGCTTTACACAAAGTACTTCCATAAACACTCATTTACCAAAATGCTGTAAGTAGAGCTAATTAGAATTTATGTGCAAACATTTTATGTACTTTTGATGATCAGTTTTTACAGAGGGAAATATAAAATATGGTTCTGAATGGCATTTTAAAATTTTTCATTACCACATAAATTGTTTTCTTCTGTTCCTTGAAGAAAACCCATTTTAAATCAAAGTGAAATTATAATTGCTTTATTTCAAAATCTCAACTCCATGCTTTTTTTTTTTCCACATGGGACTAACACTTACTCTGTGAACACCAACATTTTCAACTGAGGAATCTGAAATAAAATTTAAACTTCTAATGGGGGAAAAAAAATTAAAGCTACATTTACATACTTCTATCGCTGTAAACATCAAGGTTACTCGGTATCTTCTTCAGGATTTGAATTTATTTACATGATCATAAGAACTAAGCTCATTTAAATGCTGGCATAGTCTGTCCCAAACCTTAAACCAGAAATTGTATTTGAAGAGATTTAAGAAAAAAAGGACAAACAGGAGGAATTAGACTACAAACTCCGACCTGTCGTGGAAGCTGGGTCCTATGTTTAGTTTATAGCTCTGAAAAAACTCTTTACCTTACTGCTACAGTAGAAAGATACCACCATGCTGGCTTATAAATACTACCAGTTCTTTAATTTAACCACTGTAATGGAAAACATATTGTATTGATGCCTCTTTCTCAACTACCAGCTCTTCAGGTTTGAAGTCGGTATTGTCAAGTACATACAAATAAATCATACTGGTGGTATGAACCAACTCACTAGCACTGGTACGTGTCTGCTTTGTCTGTGTTGCTGTCAGTTCAAACTGCGTATCATCATCATCGGGACCCGAACAAGTCTTAAACAAGGACCTAAAACACTTAGCTGCTTAAGGATATGGGATCACAATCTTATATTTTACCATTTATATTTCACTAAAGAACAGAGCAATCAATTAATGTAAGAGAGGTCACAAGAATAAAACCCTCAAATATATATCATGAGGTATATGCTCCACTTTATCATGCACTAGTATATATAATATTACAACTGGAGTAATTTTGGCTGCCGTGTTTTTAGGAACTGAGAGCTACAGTTTGTGGATATTAATACAAATGTATCTATATTAGTCTCCTCCATTTTTTAACTAGCTGAGAAAAATTAGACAAGAGTAAACGCACTCTGTTTTTCTTTTAGTTATACTGTTTGTGTTCCAAAAAAGCACGATATTGTTTTGCTCAATGAATTAATCAAAAGGG